CAAGAACAAACCCGATTCGGGAAGCTTGGGTGGAGGCCTCGATCCTGTTTATCAATCCGTGGACGATAGCTCCTTGAGGTGAACTGTCCTATGGCATACGAAATAAATGGTCTAACTTGTGGAGTGTGACCAGCTGATCTATCGACGAAGAGTGGAATTTTTCCATAGACTATCCAGCGTACTTTAGCATTACTGCTCTGGTTTTCCCAACAGACTCGCGGAATGCTTCGTAGGCATCTGTGGTCACACAGAGAAAGAAGATATTTCAGAGGCGGTGGCCACGTCTTCGATTCATAAATTAGGACAGATTTGGCCGTGGTTCTGTACATTCTTAACAGTTGATGACGCGGCGGAACAAGTGCCCTAAGTTAGCAAACACTGCCCTGGCTTCTGAATTCGGGAAATAATTTTACCTTTCGCCAGTCGTTTGCGATCTATGCAACTGCCGGGGTAGGCGGACCTCTTAACTGAATTGATCGGTTCAGCCGTAAACATCGGGTTCGGGTTTCGTCCAGCCCAATCTGACGTCACCATTTTACAGTTTACAAACCACACCGGACTGTGTTGCAGGAGTACTTAGGTTATTCAAAGAAGAGAAATATCATCGGCGTACTGGCTGTCCGTGAGCTAACGCCCGGTAGATTTTTGATCCCCGAGGTAGTAAAGGCAGGTAAACAAGGCCCAACTAGCTTATTACTTACGAAGCTAAAGAGAAAAAGCGAAGGAGGACATCCTTACCTGACACCAGTGGGTGCCATAGACAATTCCGCGCACACGGGATGACGCACATAAAGCCTTTATGAGAAACATGAATTTAAGAGGAACACCCTTCATCGTCAGACTTTACCGCATTTTATGACGACTAACGGATTCGAAAGCTAATTTGTAATAGGGAAAGCCTATCACTATTGGTCATTGGAAGTAGCAGCATGGTTCTAACACTTATCGCAAGTTGAAGAGCGAAACTCAGCTTGATTCCCCCGAATCTGACTTTCCCGATAATAGGCCAACCTGCGTATAATAGCGCGCTAGGTTCTTACATCCTTTTTGAGTCAGAAACCATCGCTGACGCGCTCCATTCTGTCGAGATTCTTTCTTCATTTTAGATATTTTGGGTTGGGATCGTTAGGTTGGCTATGACGGATTCACCACCTTCTTTGGAGATTGCAGGATACAGACCATTTGGAGTATGTGCTTTGCACGGAAGCAATGAGACTGCACGCTTGACTTTTATCGTTGATGACGGGCTGATACCGATGTCCCACTTGGGTTCAAGTAGTCTTTCCAGAGGGTGAGTTGATGGGGCCCTGTTTGACCCGTTTCGAGGCATCGTTCAAGACGACGTTTCTGTGAATACATTGTGGACCTGTCCTTTGTGGAGATAGTCTCACTAACACCTGAAAGTTTATCGGATTACCTGGAACAGGGTGGAACTGATCCTCGTTGCAAAAGCCTTCTCAATTTCCCAGGCTTTTGCGATCTATTAACGCTGTCTGCCAATCTTTTGGCTCTCCATACGGCGTTTGAATGGTCTGATTGAAGAGTGAAGCACACACCGGCAACATTTCCTGGAACCTTCTAGTTCTTCATGTGGTTAAAACCGAATCCTATCTAGATAATTAGCTTTAGCCACACAAGAACGGTTTTGATTCCATCCGTGGAAGTCTTTGTGAAATTCTGATCCTGCCAATAATCTCTTGTCACCCGTAGTCGAATAACTTTACGTGTTCACCAATGGTCGATGGAGTTTTAGTAAAAATCAGGTTCCATTTTGTCACCATAGAAAACTTACACTTTTTGCCATTATTCCCCTCTCTTCCCTCTACTTAAATATGGCATTATTTCTCCCTGGTTATATCTCTTCGTCTCATTCGAAGAACGCACGTCGGTTGTGACTCCTTACATGAAGCGGACAGAGTGCTTGGCTCCCATTTCCTTTTCAACACTGTCTCCGTAAGGAGAAACGCCATTCGGGAGCACTCACTGTTTCTTACCTCGATATGTTGCTTATCTGGAGTTACGGTCCAAAAATAATCCAAAATTCCACAATTCCGTGAAATCTTCATTTCCTCACTATATCAAGGGTACATGGAGATCGGAAAGTATGAACATGACCAATAAACGACGCGCCGCCAATCTTCTTCATACGGTTGTGACCGTTTCGTTTGATCTTTACGAACACATTCCAATAACAGCGGGAGACCCTTCCTCGTCAACAACACAGCCAAAGCTCCCTAGACTTTAGGGTAAAGATATAGCCGGATCGCAATAACTTAAACCACACGAGCCCTTTCGCCCTTGTTGCGATCCATCAGGTGGGCTCCAATGACTCCCAGACTTTTAATCCAGAACGTATTATATGGTAACATGAGAATTCTCGTAAAAAAATTGAAATGATTTCGGAGTAGGCTTCCCATTTATGCTATTCTGCAGCCCCGTTTACATACGGCAGTGATCGGTGTTGAACACTGATGTCATGCTATCGATGGTGGTGGTGGCCCAGTTTATTGTACGAAACTCCTGGTGGGCTGTCTTATAGTTATGGGTGGTGTCGCATCAAGAAAAATACTCCGTTATTGAAATATCTTTCCGACGGAAACGGGTGGCCTTTGTGCAGTATATTTGCTCGCAGAACATCATAAACGCGATCTTGAATTTGGTGAAAGTCCGGGACATAACCTTCTTGATGAGCCTTAAGTAGGGCGAAATCGGCAGTGGATGGTATTCTTGAAAGAGGAAAGCATGAGTGATGTTTCTTTCAGGATAAAAGTATGTTTCAGTTGATAGCTAGAGATAATTGTGACGCGCATATGCTACTCAAACATTATTGGGTTTTACATATGTGTGTGGTCTTTTCAACTTCTCAAATAAAACCGTGTATCCTTTCCAAGAACTGCGGAAGAGGCTTCACCTGCATGTACATTCTGAGCAAGTCACGTCTTGCATTGGGCTTGTCCAGAATGGTCTTTGTTAGAACACCTCTTATTGATCTGGAGAGGCATTTTCCCACGCAATGCGGGGCAGAGTTCGTGTAGGACATATAGTCAGTACCGCCAATGATGCCTTAATTCGAAGTGATGCTCAGATGTCTTTGTTTCATTGTTCTTGAAAAATGTAGGTTCAGTATTTCCATGAAGGAAACTACTCACAAGGTCGCTGAAAACTCTTTGACAGCCCGCGACCGATTTCACTCTTCTTCGAGCCCATCAATAAGGTGCAGTCCCGAGTTTCCACCAACCTTGTGTCCAAATTGAACTGAATATGACAAATACACTCATTTGCAAATCAATTTGGTTTTCACGGGAGACTCAAGTGAATCTCTCGTTTATGATGTGCGGCACAAAGGCCGCCTCATATTTCAGTTGGTTCAGTATTCGATTTATCTCAGTATATTTTCATAGAGGAAACTAACCACAAGGTTGCTGAAAACTCTTAGCTCACACCGGTTTCCCCCTTCTTGGGGTTCATCAGGTAGGTGCAGTCCCCGAGTTTCCGTCAACCTTATATTCTACGTGAACCCATTCATTCAGCTGAACAACATTATGAGCGAGAGATTCATTTGAGTCTTCCGTGAAAACCAGATTGATTTGTACATAGGTTCATTATTCTTCATCGTTCCCCTTTGTGACACAGAAATTCTTTGCACTAGGTCCTTACTTGTCCCTTTCCCTTTCATTCTTGAAGTTTTCATCTTAGCTGTATGACGTGTAAGTACTGTTATATTGCAGCCAACGCTGATTATTTCCCCCACAAACCGTACTCTGGACAACAGCTACTATTTCATCGCTTCCTGATACATCCGTTTTTACGGTATATGTCTGACGATGCGTAAGCTTTCAGTTGCTCCACCAAGATGCATAAAGATGTTTTTTCTCGGAAAGGAGCGTATGGTTCAGCACTGGGCGAAGGGATATGAGGTGTATTCAATCGCTTACTGATAATCGTTTACTGTGTGTTGGCTCTTTTTGGATGAGAGGATCTTGGTCTGTACCGTATTTCAGCGGGTTCGGATGAAACTCAGACACTTGTGTGCGGGTTCTGCTTTTGTTGTGGGAATAGTGTTTCCTGCTTTGTTGATAGGAAATATTGTTGGTACGGATAATTCACGCCGCAAGAACATTTGGATCACCTGAATTGTTTCCTCAAGTGTTTCTTAGGTGAAGTCCTCTTATAAAAAAGGATGCTGTGTTTACAACGTAACGTATGTTAATTTCTAAAACCGTTTCTCATTTCGAAGTGTTTCTTATAAGATGGGTATACCACAGGAAAGCTGGACCTACACTTCACTGGGTGAACATAGTTAAGCAAAGGATGTACCCAGTCTTTATGATATTTGCTGTTGACAATAGCCATTGTGTACTGCGGATCATGGTGGCGCCATCAATCAAATCTGCAAGCTTTCTCGTGTATACCAGGATTATGCAGTTTGATCCAGTGCGAACCCTCATTTTCTCTGCATGACTGCCCCACCCTCTAGCATCAGCGAATAAAGAACGATTAGTACATGATGTTAACTAGTAACCAGACCAAAGCGAACTGAATCAACGCTCCATACAGACAGAAGCTATTCCAATATATCAGCAAGAGTGGTCTACTGTTTTACTCATTCTAAACTGATAACGATAATGATAATTTAATAAATCGACTCTCGGGATTTAAAGATCGATGTTACGATGTTATCACTATTAAAGTTAGATGTTGAAGTGCTCATGAGTGCTGACATTGGTGAATGGGAAGCTCTGGCGACTGAAGCCAGTTCATCTTAATAGCTGTCAGTCCCGGTGAACGGACTTATGAGGTACTTACTCTTAGTATGGTGTGATTTTGCCAAGGTAGACGGGTTGTGTAGATGAAATGCCTTCAGTTATAGCATGTTTTTACTCATACTGTTTACCGTGTGTGTCGCATAAGGGCGCCTTGCGGTAGTACCATGCTGTGATGTCATGTCACTTTTAATTTCAAACTATTTATATACCCAACTCTTTCACTTTTTCAGATATGTATACAGGCAGCCATCCGTAATCCAGAAGCTATTCTCACAATCGTGAATGATAGAATGGGCAGCACTTTACGCTCTCGTAATCCAAAATCATCGTCCTGTCTTTGATGGACTACGACGTCTCCTTGCCCTCCAGAGGTGAGACGCTAGTGGGGATTTGTGGTCCATAAGTAATAATTGCATGTGTGCGAGAGGTTTTCCCTGTAACTAGCGCGTGCACCTCGAGTATTTACTGTCAGTGTTGTTGCCCAGGGTTCCACCATCACTTCTGAGACACTTGGTGTCGGTAAATATAGGGTAGAGTGACCTGATTAATACAGTATGCTGTTTTAACGATTATTTTCTGCTCATAGACTGATCCATGGAAGTAACTATTTAGAAGTTTCGGAATTTCGGTAGCTCGGATGCGTTCACTGGTAACCCACCCAACAATGCACTGATGATATTTTCTCGAAAGTTGACAAAACGTCTGCAAATCAATCGTTAAGCTCGGCGAACAAATCAATAGCCACCTGATCAATTATCAGTGAGTAGAAGTGTATTGAAAGAATGTTAGTATAATAATATTCGAAGGATAGAAAAGTACGGAGGTATACAGAAGTGTACAGAAATATAGAATTGCACAATACAAGTATATTGGAAGTACTTCCCGCTTTTGAGAGTAGAGGTTTGATAAGTTCAATAAGCTCTTGCGACGCTCACTAGGGAGTCGGTGGATCCGGGAAATCATTTTCATTTTGTCCCAGTGGTTTCTAGTTTTTTGCCCATTTCCTCTATACAACCATGTATGAGCGCGTTGTTCCTCTCCTGAATACATGTTATGTAATTTGGTCTGAAACAGGGTTTTAATTCACCTACTTTTTCACAGTATTGTTGCCGACATAGTGCGGCGCTTTTCACTTACACTTGTAAACCATTCAAAGGGAAGACAAATTTCTCAGGATAACTTTTACATGCAATTTTCCCAATGCGATCGATTTTGGAGTCTCGACTCCCCCAGAACAAAACAGGATTAATTTTCGGAGTTTCGGGTTTCGGAGTAGTTAATTTTTCCCCACAGGGAAAACAATGGCGATGCCCCTTTTCACTAACTCAGGTTCACCAGCAGATGCTCGAGTAACAACCTGCTGGTATCGTGATCGTTACGTCACACTGCCCTGCAGCAATAGTTGGCTCCTTTTGGGTCGACTTAGTGTGTCATAGAGCCTGGCGTATTCATATTCGGTAACTCGCCACACGGTGTAATATGACCTGGTAGTATTGACGATGGGAAGTAGGGTTATGCAACATGCGCTATCCCAACACCCAAAGAGTTGGGTAAACTGAAGCTCTCTTTTCATTGCATCCACGTATCCAAAATGTTGAGCTGGCCAGGCCTACCGAGGACGGATACACCACCCATTTTCACCATTTCATATCTCTTCATTTTCACTTACCTAGTTACATTCATCTTCACCTGGACACTTGCAAGTGACATGTTATGCCAATAAAAGATGACCGTCGTTTGCGTATATATATATATATATATATATATATATATATATATATATCACATTGTGTCCCTGACGTAAATTGGTAGCGTAAAATTACAGTCTCAGAGCCATTAGTGAAATATTGTTGTCTGACAAAGCCAGTAAAGGATTCGCTCCATAGGCTGTCTTTCATTCAACCCATGGTCTTAACGGTCCTTGCAATCCAGCTGAATGAGAAATATCGCTAAATCTGGTCAACGGAATCGTATTTTTACAGGAGCAGTATTGCTTTCCAGAGAAAGCTTCCAACAAGGCCACGACGGTAGCAAAAAAGTGATTTTCTTACCTAAATCAGAAGCTTGCTAGTCTGATTAGAGACAGGCGAAACGGTACCCCCTTCGTTCATTCGATTTTCCGGATCTTCCACCCGAGTGGTCGTTCTGCCGCTGCATAGGGCTCAGTTAGAGCAACCTTGTCTACCGTTTAGTTAGGCGTGCACCGCTGTTCTTCCACTCAAAAGTGAGGTGATCGATGAAAGGTAGTCTTAAAGTTTGACCCAACCCGCTGCGTAATTGGTCGTGACCGAAGCAGAACTAGCGAACTATTTTTGAAATAATACAAATATTTCTCCCCTGAATGAAAACTCGGAGACTTTGTCGCCAGTGTAAGGTACGGTCGTCTGAGACCAGGCGGTCACACCCTGTTCCCTAGACTGGGCTTATACTGGTAGTATGAAAGCTTGTCCTTAATTCTCCCCTTTCCAAGCAAACTGAACGTGATCACGGTGTTTCAAGGAGCCGTTAACATTTGACCCGTGGAACTTTCGAACAGCGCTGGTTTAGGCCGATAACCATCATTTAGGACGCACTGCTTCGTTTGCAACGGAACCGTGGAGATACGGGATCGAGGTCTGAAAGCTATCTTCTGGATGCTGACATGGGGCTGAAACAGAACCTTATCTTCGGAAACGTTCAATATAAGGCCAAGCACTTCACCAAACTATTGAACCGACCGATGAGTACCGACTGCACTGTAGTGTACACGCTGTCTGGATAAAAGGAAATCGTCCCTGTACCTTCTTCCGACTATCGAAGAGATGCTTCAAGGGAACATGCATTTGGTGAAATGCAACCGGAGAAGAAATGCTTGTAGCAGGGATGTTCGAGTATGGTGATCGGAGTCTGGAGAATGCTGTTCCCCAACTGACGCGCATGATCCTGCAAGGTGAACTGCCATCAGAATTCAAGGTTGCTATAATTACTCCACTCTATGAAGGAAGAGAAAGCAAGACATCATCTGGCAGGGGCGCTACTCAACCGTTTGATGGCTGAGTTGACCGATGAGCACGTGAGGATTCCATGCTGGTCATAACACTATGAGCGTGATATTTGCAGCACAACAGCTTCATTAAGAATCCGGCGCACTTTTCCAGCTTCTCTGTCCTCTGCTCACAGACTTTACGAGAACCCTTGACTCTCAGCTGTATTATTTCAAACTACAACTGTCCGCCACGACCATATTCAACAGTCTGCGGTGGCTGGGATATGTTCTCTGAATGGGCAGAACAGGATTCCAAAGCAACTTCTTTATGACCATTTGAACACAAAGAAACGAAACCCTGGTAGACAAAAGCTTTGGTACCTGTATACTTTCGTTTGAAGTCCAAAGCTGGTGACGTGGATATCATGAAATGGGGATGTGGAACCACAAAACAGAACGTCATAGAGAAAAGCGATGTGAACTGGAGTTTATCAGTTCAGGCAGCGTTCTAAAGCCTGCATGACTCATGTGCATCATCGGAGTTATTGGACCTGGAGACCGAACCAGCTGGATCTGCCGTGACCGCGGTCGTGCTTATGCTGGTTGCGTTGGATTATTTGGCCTACATCGGATATAGTGAGTAGTGGGTTAAACATCGGTGGACGAAGGAAGTGTACCAGATTCGCCTTGGGTTTACAAGATTACGAGATAGCTAAGCCTGCTGCAGTGGTAGAAGTGATCTTTCGTGACCATCGTCGCGCAGACGTAAAACTACGAAAATACACCATCACATCGAGCGATTCCGTGTACGATGATGTTAAATGTGATTTCGGTGATCATCGTCACGTGAAAGGAATCAAGTTGAATAGTGGCGAACTGTCGAGCGCCATGCGAACGCAGCCCGAGTCCGTCTGAATCGGACACCATCGAATTCAACCGGTAGGCTGTTCCTACCTGTATCAACAGAGATCTGCCTTAGTGCCCTGGGTATTCCGGATCTTTAAGCCTACAATGATGTTAGAAGTGACTTTCTTGATCATCGTTGTATCGATCAAGCTGAATGATGCTGCCCATACGTGTGTCGCTAGGTTGTGTCTGATGTGTGGTGCTGACCACCAGACACTTGTCTGCATATGCTGTGAGCAAATATTTACTTGTGCCTACTGCGGTAACCTAAAAAGGTCGAAAATGGATTCTTGGACGTGGGTCGCAGTTTGGTTGCCAGACTAGACGTTGTTTTTCATTGCCATTTCATACTTACTCCACATACGTTGTGTTGCATTGTACTTTGTTGTTTTAGTGTCCATTTAATGTCCCGTTGCATTCTGTTTATTTTGTGTATCCGTCTGCAAATGATCCGCACGAACGCTCCACTCATTCCGAATTGTCAAGCTTATTACGGTGGCAGAATTGACTTTCCGTAACCATCATTGTCCAGACCTAGCTGGATAGTATCTAGCGCTAATTAGCCAGGTGCGTCCCTAGTACCAGTTTTGTTTGCACTATGAGGCTCAGTGGTCCAGTTGTACCCATCTGAATTGGCTCTCCGATAGGGCAGTTCCGTCATTTTGATCCAGACCATGAGGTTAAATCCCGGAAAGCAGTTCAATAGCAACATTTTGATTCTAGCGAGGATGAAAGCTAGCAGAAGCGGCGAGATGGGAAGTCCTTGGCCCATTTCACCATGGAGTTGACTGTCTATAGACCAGTATGCAGCTGTACGATGACTTGTGGGTTTTTATATATTTCCCACAAGTACTACCACAGCGCCTTGTTCAGTGAATCGGAAACTGCATAACTACTAGGGAAGACGGGACCAATCAGTTGTCTGTACGTGTGGGGGTGCCGGAAGATTTGTCTAACTGTGAAGGTTTGGTCGATACTTCGAAAACCTGGCGGTTCATTGCCATCGTATTTCCCAAAGGGGCACAAGTCCACGAATAGTCACTGCTTCCGAAATCCCCGAAGCGACCGATCGCAGGCTAGCCCTACGATGGTTTGATCAGTCAGTGCGCCAGCACTTTTTGTTAGCCGAGATGTCCACTAATGTGACGGAAATCGTCCGATTTCCATGTATTCGAAAAAGGTTCCTTCAAGTTGCTGTGTGACCTCAACTCCGGACAATAGAAGTCGTAGCCCATCTTCGCTAGCAACTTTATACTTTTTCACATTACAACAGTCAGCGAAACCTCATTCCGGTTAGGCGGATTGAGGGAGCCTTCGTTAAGTGTTGTTCATAAGTCTCGAGTTGGTAGAGATCCAAGCTATTCTTTCCTGGGATTAGTCCAACGGTAGCGCTTCTTAGTCAACACTATTTCGAGCTCGTGTGTCTTCTCGCTAACCTGTGCACACCAATAGCTGTCTGATCAAAGTAAGTGGAAAAGATGACTGCTACCGATAGCCAAAACGAGTCCCTTTTGATTCGCGCGCTGAGTCATGGCTGTCTATCTTTCCTGTTTTTTTTCGGACGTTGACGTTTAAATCATAGGCGTTTATGGGGCCACTCAAGTGGAATTGTACGATGAAGCTATAGCAGTTGACGGGTTCTGTGGAGACCCACCGCTTCCAAAAACACTGGCTTCAACAGCCTAGAGCAAGCCTGATAGGTCAATGGTTTGCACTGAATGGCGACGGCATTATTCTGGATTCTTTCCAAGGCCATCGGCTGTACTGATTTCGTTATGTCATCTCGGCTCACTTGGTGTCTTTTCACAAAAACACCTTTGTGCACTATATTTCGTGATCTGAATACTCTCAGTTGTTTCAATAGGGGTGGCAGTCTTGGATGAAACCACACAATTGATGACTAACCGAAAAAAGGATCGATCCATGTTCACTGGCTGGCTTCAGATAGCAAGTGCAAGGTGTCAATTACGACATGGAGCATCAAAGCTTTCCACACACAGACGGTGATCAATGATTAAACTTAGCCGTTCACGATTATCACTTCTCATTGTATCACATCCTTGTGGATCATCAAGATTCTTTTCCATTGAACACAGAGGAAGAAATTGCGCTACAACCAATTGGTGCACGTGCCTGGAATGGCGAATAAGCACCGTTATAAGTTCCCATTTCAGTTTCTAGTTACTCTTTATGCTCTTTATAACCTCACTTACTGGTGGTGCATAGTTTGCTGCCGATTCGTGTGTATTGATGTGGCCTAGTTTCCGCAGTGCCATCGCTAGAACGGGTGCAACTGAGTCTTCAGGGCAACACCCAACGCCTGCGATTTTAAAATACATACTCCGTGTAATAATAAAAACACGTACCCGACAGATTTCGACTTATTGTCCAAACTGCGGAGTAGTTGGTCCTCTTGGCCAACCTCCCTCACAGTGTATTTGAACGTTAACGTGGACAAATGCGATTCTCAGAACATATGATGGACCACCCTTTACAGTGTCTGATGAGATGAAATGGTGAAGTATGTGATGTTTGAGTTGCTTTTTGTTTAGACTTCCACGAATCTTTGTTGTGCTGTCATATTTGTCTATGGACAGAGTAGTACCCGTTGTCGAAACGAAACAAAGTAGACTCCGAATTTTATGACTGAAGTATCCCATCTGTAAGGTTGAAGAATGGCTTGAGGAGCCGTAACTCGAAATATTCGGAGCCAATGACTAATTTTTCGGTTTATTCGCCTTCTAGGTGGGGTTATGTATCCGTCTAGCGCACCATTGATCATATGTCTACGGGTGGTGGTCTGGTGCGCTTCATGCGCATCTAGGGATGGGTGAAAGTCAAAGTTCACCAACTCTCTTAGACAGACAATGCTCTATCAACCGGTGATAGTGGCCGTCGCCCACTTTCAGCTTGACAAAGCAGTGAATAAGACATTCTCTACAGAAGCTCTGGGGTGCCGTGAATTTGGAAGCATTTCGAAAGACGCTAGGGACTACCAACAATTTGAGACGCCACAATTGATCATTCATTGATCTGTGCCTCTCCTTCGCTGCCGATATCGGCATTCAGTACAAGAAAACGCGAGCAGGAGCTCGTATAAACGTGTTTTAAACAAATCTGCTTTTGCCGTTAAAATTATTGATGGGTTTCATGCTAAGGACTGGGTCACATCTTTACTAAAAGTTGTTTAAAGACGCTCACAGTGTGGAAAATAGTTATCTGTTTTGCCCCTGATTATAATGATCCACTACCCTGAACGTTTCTTCTGGTCACTGCTAGTCGGTTATACGACCAATTTTGACCACGAATTCCGTGTCATTTCATCTTAAATTCTGCCTATTTGATTTGCTTCTCCCCATTTGCCTTCAGCCTATCATCCTCGGGTCAAGGAGAATCTCTGTGTCATTGTTGTGGGCTTGGTTATACGCGCAGACAAGGTCCTGCTTATTCAAGAAGCTAAGAATTCCTGTCGTGGGCTCTATTTCCTTCCTGCTGGGCGTCTAGAGGTGAATGAAACACTTCTGGTGAGTGGTTTCATCTTCAACCTGGATTTCCTCTGTTTGCTGTGACGAACCATGTGTCATCCTGATATTTAGATGTTTTTTTGAGGGAATGCCAGTTTTAAGTGCCCGAACATGTAAGTCGCTGCCGGGACGCAACTTTTTTTATCGCCTTAACAAGAGATTTGTTCTGTAAAAAAATTAGGATCCACAATAAACTCCTAACGAGGCCGCCTTTTTAATTGATGTCTTTTCTGTGAACCAAGTGTTCTATGACACCTCCATGGTCCCCGGGTGCGCCTATTCGTCATATAACAAGCCGACAAAGAGTTTCGAAGGTTCTGTCCATAATATTGCAATATGACATTCATGTGGAATAAGGTATTCCGTTACCACTTGAGAAGTGAATCTTTTTTAAAACTTTTGTACATTGTGAAACTAGAACTGATCAGTTGATGGTCTTATACTTACGTATTAACGTCAGTAGCCAGTGCGTGATGGCAAAGTTAACGACTCGTTGGTGGAAAATTACATGATGAGATCAGCTGTGCGAAACACACTTCCTCCTCCCTCTGACTGCTGACATTGATATAACCCAAGAAACATCTTCGAGCAATGCATTGATTCTGGTTTCCTGTATTTTGGCCATCTTCTATGAGGTCCTTGCGTCACATTCACTGTACTTCCTAAGCAACGGCCCTTGCGGGCTTAGTGTGGGACCGACTGAAACGAATCGGGCTGTGTGGATGGAACGGATGCGACAAATGATGAGTAGACTTGTTGGACGATTATTATTTCACTTTTGCCAGAAGTAACCTGAGTCATAATGTCCACCACATCCTGGAATCTCACGCACTGAAGAGTTCAGATACATACATGCATGCTCTGCTGGAAGTCTTAATTCCCGCATTTGTATACAAGCTTTTGGATCCATACTGCTACGCAAATGCTCCTCTCTCTGAGCTGTTGTTACGATAAATTAACTGCTCTGTGGAGGTGGAGGAAATTTAAGAATAACTTGCTGACATGGTATCGTTTTGGCTTTCATCAACTGCGCACCTACCTTGTGCACCGAATTTCACATTTTCTCTAACCTCAACTTTATGAAAAATATGGAAGTTTATACCGTGGCAGAAAATGGACCCAGTTTTATCTTCGTTTTGTTGCCCCACATCATCAATTGTGTACTCTGTATTGTTTTTGACGATGTGTGACCTCCGATTTGGATCGTAGTTCGCCATCTCGTATAGCAATTTCCCACCTTTTCGGGAGGGCTACGTTCAATCCAGTAGCAAACAGATCATCTTCATGTGTCTGATTTGTTTGCTCAACTTCCCTTCGGATACGCTCACGGTCCGTTTATAGGGGTATTTTATTTTCCTACTTCATGAATAATCATCTCGCGGGATACCCGCTCTTGTTCATTTTCATTACTGGGACTATTGTTGTTTGTTGCTTACTACGACAGCTTCGTCGTGAAATCGCGCTGATGACTAACAAACGAATCAGCTGGGTGTTCCTCACCGATCAGTTTTGGCCTATGTGTGTTCCTTTTTGTGATTGGAAAAGAGTCTGGAATGGAGGAATACCAATAACCGAGGTGGCTATCTGATCCTGGACAATGTGGTCGCACTGTTCTCGGTGACTGTCACCCAGTTTTTGTTGTTTTACAAATATTGCGTAGTGGGTAAACTCATCTCCCTTTGGAAATCCTTCAAAACTGTCCACGAGTGGAGTTTGGCAGGAGAGTATAGTGTATTTATTCGTATCATCCGATCGTACGATCGCGGCCTGGTGACGCAAGTTTATCCATACTTCCAAACAGCACAACAATGAGTACCGCTTAACACTTGCAGGTCCGGCACCGTTTGGATGGTTTGGTATTCAACGAACTGACTGTGCCCGATATTGAGGAATTTTTTCAAAGCAAACTAAGCCTTTCCGAGAAGTAGACACTCGCACACGAAGGAAGTGACGGAACGGGTCACGAGCATCGTAGCACATGGATTCAGTCGATGTCGTAGGGAATCTCATTAGTAGTCGGAAAACACTGGCGATGTTAGCAACAGGAGCATCGTCAATGTGTAGCGCACCCTATTCTCCACTTCGAGTTATTTCTTCTGTATTGTTTTTCTGGTTGTTACTTTCACCCAAGTAGCTTCAATAAACAAGACGTTATATTCACTCAATTGGCTTTCATTACGACTAGGTCCCTGTATAAGCACAGTGCAATCTCTTTGTACTAAACACGATTTGAGGTAAACGGCTTGATCCAGTAACCCAGACCCTTGGTTAACTCGAGTAATCTACTGCTAGATTTTGCGAAGGTACATTTTCTCATGTAAGCAGTTTTCCTATGGAAGTGTGATGCTTTATCGCAGCACTATTGCTTGATTTTTCCTCCTTCCGATAATGACTAGCACCGTACGCATCCACACTCTCGATTTCTTAGTCTTATTGACTGAAAAGCTTATTTCGGAGAGACTTAAGCAATTTTCTCGGGTGGTAAAATCGTTCTGCTCTTGTAGCACACTTTGAGCAAATACTGTGAAATATGTCCAGCCACTTATTGGTAATTGTTCTTCGTGTCTGATTTTGGTTTCGGATTTACGGAACCCTGTCCCTTTCACTTCGTTCGGCGAGCGAAATATGGCCAAGGTCACTAATGAGATTGTCAACCACTCATTCAGTGTTCGTTTTCTATTCGATTGCCGATGGATTATACCTGGCACCGAGGACCCAATTTTCAAAAAAAATGAGTCGGCAGATTTATTTCATTCTAGCCGTTTCTTAAATGGGGTTTCGCAGAAACCGTGAACTACAGTGGCAACACAATTTTCAACCAAAATTCACTTATTACCTAATTTTAGTCAGGGGCACATGGTTGCCAGGTCACTCATCCGTCAGAGGTTGGTATGACTGTTCCCATCTATGATTACCCTCTCTTACTAGATTTCTTTATGAAATTCCCGACAAGTGATTGTTACGCTAACTTCGTGATTGGTCTCCTTAGCAGCAGCTTCTCTTGTCCTCCAGTTGCTTAGGGTAGGTGCTGAGTTCGTCTACTCATTTCATCTTGTTCCCAAAATTTTAATTGCTGAGCCAGTATCAGACTCCTATTGACACTTTAAGGATGCACACTTAAAACTATCCTGTTCCCTCCGTGTTTCGTTCAGATGATCTAGAATCTTCTGCAGGCTGTCTGTTGAGGTTCGTTCTTATACCTTACCTTCGTGCCCTACATTACCTTCTTGTTGAAAGTAAAGCAGTTTGGTGATCGATGTCTTCAACCGAAACGATTGTCGACGTAAGAGTTCCATTTGCAGGTGGATTTGCCTCGGTTGCTACAGTTTAAAGTTCATAGAGTCCCTGAATTTTTCGATTTCAGTCTTACCGCTGCCTCAAGTCGTCTGTTCTGATAAAACCGCGAAAATTTCGCGGATTTTCCTGCGCGGAAGGGCGCTCCTCTGGATTCCAGTACGCATGTAAGGCGAGTGGTATAAGGTCGGTAGCTCCACACTGTAATAGATCTCTTGGGCAGCGATGTTGAACTGACTGTTCCGCTGTGATAAAGTGGCGAAGGTCAAGTTTAAGGCTTCCGCCCCTCTATTAGGTTGTGACTTGCACTGTATTTTGTTTTATTATTCAGACTACTTTTATGGTAATAGTAGCGCGACTCCCTCGATCAATCAAGTAAGATACATGCGACAGCAGCTGTCAGTTTCCCTCCTTTTGTTCATTTTGATCGCCGCACTCTTGAAGGTCGTCCAACAAACTGTAGCAACTGAAAATATTGTACTTTATATTGTACATATATGAAAGCTTCTGATTACCGCAACTTGCATCACTTTTGTTTGGTTTTGATGTTTGTTGAATAAACACCGGTTTGGCTCGCATTTCCCTACGCAACCACATCCGGTCGTATCTGCATTGTACTTCAGGTGGATCGGAAGGTACCGGGTCACACAAGCACCTTCGGTAGTTTGCACGTCACTGAAATGTTGATGCCACTCTCAATGAAGAGGACTTCGCATTTTATCACAGTGCGTTGCCAACCTATCGGGAGCCGTTGATTCCAGGTTAATTGCGGGTTAACTACAATAGGTAAATTTGGTACCTCCTGGGAGGATCTTTCGGTCAAGAAACCATGTTTGGGATGTTAATACGATATGTTATTATGTTCGGGTGTTTTGTGGTCCTCATTACTGGCAAAGTGTTTAGCATGAGGTTGGTACGTTCTCCGTATTAGGATGTGGACAGTCAGGTTGGTTCCAAACGTTTCGCACCTAATTTCTTAATTTCTGTATCATACATACGTAATGGAAACCGGTCTTTTCACAATATGGTACTCCGCTTCTCCAGGAAGCACTTTCAGTGGAAACCAAAATATCCTCTCGATGAGCAGGAGTTATTTCTTCATGCGAGAGACGACTAGTATGAACCAAATCACACACTTTCTGAAATGAATTGATCGAGTTCGGGTCTTTTAAAAACTATTTGTGGATTTGCTGAGAAGTGGTTTCCAACTCGTCCTAAATAGACAGACATCTTACGCCGTTGCGTGTCTGTAACAGAACAGGTCGTCAGCCCCGGTCATGCAGGTCAGTACGGTTGAATACCTACCTAGCCAAGCGTGAATAACGTAGACAAGATGACTTATCGCGACAAAGTATTCTACTATGACGAAGAAGAAGTCGTGCCTTAAGAAGGTATTGACAGTCATGCCTTATCCTACATTCTAGCCTAATTCTCATCGACTCGCATTGAAATTATGACATATTTCAACGAGCTCTATTCTACGTATATCTTCGACTAAGCTCTCAGCCAATGCAAATCACTCTCGCTCGTGTACCTGGATTGTGAATTTGTCCTATCCACCATCTCGCAATTAGCTTAGCTACTTCTCTACACAGTAATCAGGCTCGATGAATTCCAAAGGCAACTTTCATGTATCATTTTAATGTGGAATGCTTAATAGCAAAATTGTCATTAGATAATCACTTCTAGCTTTTCCAAGGCCGGGGGCTGGTGTGATAGTTCAGCCCTACAGCATGGCTTGTCTGAACACACTTTTGGGTCGGCGGTCCGTCGTTTTTTATGGTGCATTTGTGAAATTCAACTGACCAGACCGGATTCTGTTTGGTCGTTCTCTCACACACACATATCACGCGCTCAGGGTGTTGGTGTCCGCTGAGACCCATCCATTACCGACGACACTACGCTTTTTCTTGACCTTTATCCTGTTCCAAGTTCATGTCTGGAAAACCTCCAGTCATCCGTGATGTTTATTTCGGAATAAAAATTTACAGCAGACTTGTATAGCCGTACCATAAAGCCGTGAATAGGAGGGAACATACAGAAATATGATTCGACAAGTGACTTCTACGCTGAAAGGATCCACTACTTCAGACTGTCCATCACAAAAGCGCTGTTAATGAGGTATTGGACCATGTAGGGCATGACAGAACTACGAACCGTTGCAGCGCAACATAGATGCTGTCTGAAGTAGAATGGTCTTCACTGGAGAAGAAGGAGGGCCGTGTTTTCGCTTTTTACGGAATCTTCGAAAGAAAATGACCGTGCTTGCCGACCACAGGTATGATAATGATGTTCCACCTCACCTGGAAATGCCTAAAGAATCGAACTATGAACTCGTACTTTTCTCAGAGGTTGACTGTTACACAGCTAAGCATTTTAATGTTATTCACTCTATTACACTTTCAAAATTCGCTTTTGTGTTTCTGAAACAGGACGGCGTTCGGCGAGAGGTACTGGAAGAGTCGGGTCTAGTATTTGAACCACGAAGGTGTGTTCTTGTTGAAATTAATGGTCCTTTTTGGATATCGGTCACGTTCTTGGGCGATGTGGTTGGAGGTAGGTTGCTCTTCTTAGTTTCATCTGATTTCCATTCGCATTATTTGCATTATTCTATCCTGACATTCATAGGCGTATACATTTTATCCTCAGTACCTCAACACCATAACCTCATCTGCGTTCGAACCCACCTCTGCTATGCAAATTCTTGTCAAGTATCAGTCACAGCTGTGAACGTGTTTGAGCCGAGAACGTTTTCCTGCCTAAAAGTGGACTTGAACTATAGTGAAACCGCTCAATAAGAGATATTGACAGGGGAGAGGCACCTAGTTTCTTAGTGCAGAGTTCCTTCACCACAGCAGTTTTCTGTGAGTAATTATCCATATATCCAGGACTCGTTGTGTTCATACTGAACCAAGTTCACGTGCTAGGCTTTCTGGGTTGCGAATCATCGAAATTCGTTTCCGGGTGCTCTTCAGAGGCTAGGCAATAATTACCACCAAGTCTACTTTCATCTTCTGCGCACCTGATAGCCAAAAAAATGACTGTAGGTTATAGAGTGGCTTACATTCCAATATTTCCCATTGGTCAGTCGCTTTATACAGAGGAACTGCAAATTTTATCTCACGACATCCAAGTGATAAGCTCCAGCCTATTCTGAACAGTTTGATAAACGGTCGAAGAATTAATTGCTCGGCACCGTCCTTACTTTGACACATGAGCTTTGGCTAACAGACTGGGTTGCCAATTTGAGAAAATTTCAAGACATTCCTTGAAACTGTATCTTCTGCTTCGCGTATCCAAGATTTTAGTTTTTATCCTACCCTCTTTGCAAACGTAGAATCTTTATGATTGCGCACCTGATTGGTCCGGTTTTCCAACAAATTGCTGCGTTGACGGACCCGAGAATGTCCCTCAACAGTGTGGATCGGTTTCGCTAGCATCTCGCACTGTGAAAATGCCATTATCCCCACTCAAGGGTGTACAGGAGACTATGAACCATTGAACATGTATTCTCATTTCAGCAACTCATACTCGTTGTATTCCCCAGATGAGTAGCTTCTCATTGTGCTAAAACGTTTGCCCCATACCTCTCAGGTTCATTCTGGGAGTGTCTGTGGTTCATCGTAAGGTTCCTTTTGACGGAATGTCAGTGCCACTGCTGACGTTCGAAGAAGGATATATATATATATATATATATATATATATGTACACATATATAATGCATTCGGTGTGTTGCTTGAGAAACGCCGTCCGTTCTGGACTTCTCGTTGAAGTGACTTTCTATCACTTTTACACCACCCAGGCATGTTATGCACTGTACAGCATTCGGTGCTTGAGAAACGCCGTCCGTTCTGGACTTCTCGTTGAAGTGACTTTCTATCACTTTTACACCACCCAGGCATGTTATGCACTGTACACTGTTGCCGCCTCGCTCAATAATAAATGCATCATTAATGACTTATTTATCTTCCCGCCAAATTTAAATTGCCAACGCAGAATCAGTGGCGAAGAAAAGCAGATCTATGACGGTTTGGCGCACAATGTTCCGGATGGGATTAACTCACTCTATACTTCAGTTTGGCTTTCTGGTTTTCACTTACCAAGCGATCCCAGTGTTGAAGCTTTGTTTCCATATATCTTGCTTACCGTGCGGTTCACGCGGTTGTCAAAATGTTTCTGTGGTTTTTTTTAAATTGAGGTTTTCTCAAGGCCAGTGCGGATTCAGAGTCCCTTGGAGCTGGATGGTTCTCCCTTGACCAGATTCGGGAGGCCGAAAGGGCTTGGGTGCAAAACCGGCGTAATGAATCTTCAGCCAATCGCAGCCACTCCGAGGGTTCCAGTTTTGTCCTTCGTGCTGCTGTTCTGCACATGATTGAGGCAGGTCTGCGGTACTTATCCGCCAACCGGTCCTCCCCTGATCTATCGTACACACTTACCTCCTGTATCCACTGCATTCTCTATCAGTTAGCCATTGTTTGGGCTGGTAAAACAGATTCTCATTCCTCTGCCTCGCCAACCCACTTGTTGTTGTCAGGCTCTCGACTTCCAGCCTTTCGTCTGAATGGTGGTCATCCAGTGGAAATGATTGATAAGTTCATCCAGGTCAGTGTTTACTCGCTTTATCGCATTTCGCACACATGTTTGTTGTAAAGCATTAATACATACTACTGGCAATCCCTGGGCACAATTATAGCAACAGGAACCGTGTGCCTAAACTAGGGACTAGGGTTTACTGTTAGCCTTTGCAAGCTCACAACCTAAATTGGTCGATTCATACGAACGTACATGTGAAAATTCGGGGATATATCAGCTACTGTACACGTGGAACGTTACAGGCACCCTTATTTCACGTCCCGTCTTTTGTCTAGAGATTAGTGCTTCGTACCAGTTACTCGGCTAACGCTGTGCTAGTCGAGCTTCAGTAGCACCATGATCATTTGGGCTACATTTTAAGAAATTAGCCTCCGTGAGGCTTAACTATCCCAGGAAGGGAAGCGGTCAAAGTAAGAGCGGCGAAAGCACATTTACGAACACTCTCAGTACAAAGCTATCTGGTGGTAAAGTCGTGTCGTCCTATGCGACAGAATTGTTAGGGCAGCCAGATTATTCCCCCAGGCGACCATCATGCCCGTATTTATGGAAGTAACATCGCTGCTCTCCCTCCGAGGAAGGACGGGTTAGAAAATGTCGACCATAAAACTACACACACAGATCACTCAGTAGTTGACCGTGACTGCAGGTAAGTTGCGCAGTGTGGTCGAAAGGTGAGTAAACCTTATCATGAGACGGATGCGGCTCCGAGCTCATCTGCTATGCTCAGAAGCATCAGGAGTGAGAAGTCTATGCCTTATTTCCTGCGCCCTTGGGGTAATTCGGTCCCCTCCCCTACGGAGCTCGTCAGGCTATAGGATTATTAGCTCCGGACAGGGTCCCTACTGCCTTACGGGTCAAACTTCTCAGTCTGGGGATAAGCTCCCCGAACAAAATCCTTCCTTTTCCCACTGCTTTGCGAGTCGCACTTTTGGGTCAACGGTTGAAGGCTACACACTCCGATCACTCAGTAGTTGACCGTGACTGCAGGTAAGTTGCGCAGTGTGGTCGAAAGGTGAGTAAACCTTATCATGAGACGGATGCGGCTCCGAGCTCATCTGCTATGCTCAGAAGCATCAGGAGTGAGAAGTCTATGCCTTATTTCCTGCGCCCTTGGGGTAATTCGGTCCCCTCCCCTACGGAGCTCGTCAGGCTATAGGATTATTAGCTCCGGACAGGGTCCCTACTGCCTTACGGGTCAAACTTCTCAGTCTGGGGATAAGCTCCCCGAACAAAATCCTTCCTTTTCCCACTGCTTTGCGAGTCGCACTTTTGGGTCAACGGTTGAAGGTCGGGTTCCTCAATTGAACCATTTTCCTCGACCAGAGCAACCGGAAAGTACCATTTCTCCACAGTTTTTTTTCACCAGTGTCTTCCAAATCTCCTCCCACCCTGCCCAATTGAATTTCAGTGAACGGATGTTTGCGCTGTTCGATTATACAGCTGAATCAGGCTCAGTGCCATTGGACATAAAAAGCGGTGTCTCTCTGTAATGCCGGCTTATGCCCCGATGGGCTGCAGTTCTGACCCTGAGGAGGATTAACTCTGTCCAGATTTATCCAGGCTCATACTTAAGCAGGAGCACTGACGTTGTCACCTTTGCAAATGATAAGAAGGCTCATTTGGACGGTAGAATCAGAGTCGATACTGGTCACACAGACAACGGAGAATAACTGCTCCATTTGTGCGTTGACCAGCACGAATTTTCAACTATGTAATCTGGCGGATCGCCACCACTAACGGAGAGCCGCTATTCAAGGCGGCGGTTCCCTCTGGAGCGAACAAACTGATTCCGATCACACAATAGTGCATACATAAGGTGGCAAAACACGAAATAACCCATCCTAAGACGTTAGGAGCTACCAGGATGAGATGGTTTGTATCAAAACTTCGCCAAAGAAGATGGTGAATCTGGGGTCACCTAGCTACTGCCTCCAGTGCCTAGCTATCCACTCCCATCTTCCCAGATGATCGGCGAACGAAACTGTGGCAGCTACAACCACTGTAAAACTTGTACGTGGTTTTACAGCTAAAGATGATGGTGACTTGGTCAACGTGATTTGTGTGGGTCAGCAGAGCCCACCCGTGTTTAACAAGTGGCGGTTAACTTATTACTGACTTACCAGCAAAGTTTACTATCCTGCCGGAATTTTCTGGGAAGATTGAGTCTCATGAACGAATCATCTTGGTTTTGGATTGGACTCATTCTGCATGGTCATCAGGCTTAACAATGCGGTTGAGATCTCATCGTACAGGTGAAACCAAGAATTGCTTTAGAACTGCTTTAGAACAGTTATATCTTTGTTAGGAATTATTGGCAGTGGGAATCTCACGTGGTCTTGCGGTTAGTAGTTGGTCTCTATACCAGTCGGTCACAACCAGCTGATCAGCAGTGTGATTGACCATCGTTTGGGATGCAGCGCCACCGTTCTTCGTTATGCTGTCTACGTGATCCGGTAACGGATGATGTTTCATCACCATCACGTGATGAAGAAAAAATTGTATAACTTGGGATTTCTATGAGTAATGAATCACACAGGCCTGCTAATTGTACTAAGCTTCCGCGAATAAATATATGATATGTGCCGTTTATAAACTAAGCGAAAAGTGAAGTAACTGGAAGGCTTCCAGTGACTGCACGTACTGACCTTTGACGGTGGATACGATTCAGTCAAACATTTGTGGTCATGTGATTCAGTCGGTTTGTCGAGGGACAGTAATAAGCTCTCTTCGCGAACAGTTTTGGGTTATTGAACCTAATACAGGTAACCTTGCCAGCCATCAAGCTGATACTATGCAATACATATCAAGGTCAAACATGAGTACGTGTTTCGGCCAGTGTTCTCCGCAGGTCCAGGAGTTGTCGTATCCACCTGGCCGTCTGGACAATAATAATCATCATCATTGTCAGCTGTAAGAACCGCGTACTTGTCGTGCAGTGGTTGTAGCTGCCACAGTTTCGTTCACCGATGATTCGGGGAGGTGGGATAGGTGTGCCACGCATTGGAGGCGGGAGCTGATGAATTGCTACCTAAATGCAGCACTGTCAGTGGACTGTTAAGTGGGGGGTTGGGAAAGGAGCTATGCATTGAAGGCGACAGCTTGGATAAACGAGCGCCATCGAGGGTGCGACTGAGCCATGTCTGACAATGTCTCTAACCATTGATGTGGCCCGTCTCGGGGTCACCATCCAGGAAGATGGCAATTATCAGCGCAGTTGAGTTTGCTGGTAATGGCTTTTATACTTCGCTGCCATACTTCGGTCGATATTGGCCATGTCTGGATAACTTGAGTGACCAACTAACTAATATATTTGCACAAGTTGACTTTTGTTCTAGCTTCCTCTTATCATCGGCTTTCAGTCTAGAGGAGGACACAATAGTGGGAAGTTCGGGCCGAAGGACAGCGTTCGCTCGCATGTGAACTTTTCTCTTAATTGTTGCTATCTAAATTACACTCACTACGCTTCTTTGAAATTTGTATGGTTCCAGTCTTTCATTTTCTGCTAACCTGAGTTGTCGACCTGTTGTTCACAGAATTTCCCGTGAAACCGAAGACTGTCCTAGCCCTTCAAGATTTGTATGATGCTTCTTTTTAGGAAGTATCCAAGCTCCCTGTTTCCCCGTAGGACTGCTTGGTGTACTATAGATCACCCGGTTTCCGGCCATTTTGGAAATTGACAAGTGTTTCTTTAATCGAATTTGAAGAAAAAAAGCATATGTCTTGTGACTCTTTTCATCAGATTTCCGAGACGAATATTTATCAGTCGCTTTCTGTACACCAAATGACAGTCGGCAACAATCAGGACTTTGTGCTGTTCGTCACTGACTCGTGGGGGGGGGGGGGTCCGCGCATATCAAAAATATTTTTTCTGCTGAAACAACCCCTATCTGTACCACTCGTGCTTGTATCAATTGATTATACTCGCTCTCTCCGCAGATGGATTCCCCAGGGTTTAATGCCAACTTCTCTACCCACAATACCACCGTTTGTGTTCCATTCACACTATACGAACCAGTGATTTATATCATTATCTTCGCGCCTAGTTTCGATCGTCACCTGGTCACATTTTTTGCCAACCTCATAGCAATTATGCTAAAATCTTTTTAGGCGCACCATTACAGCATGTTTTTTTTAGGGTTAGCTGCTTATAAGTTAAACATCTGAATTTAATTTTCTACTTGTCGGTGCGACGGTGTGGAACAGTGAACTTCACAATTATGGCTCACGTTCCGTATATGAAGTCTTTCTGTCAGTTGTAGTCTTTCGTTACTTCCTAGCTCCACCTGCAGTCCCTCCCATCTTGCACGTGGATAATCGCCCCAATAATCTCTCCAATTAGACTCGAGTTTGGCACGGTCCCTTTCTTCATCAGCTACAACCCGTGCGCAGATCGTACAATGGCATCAGCTGCCATAGCTTTTTCCCTCATTAGGCTACGAGAAATGCATGTTACAAGCAGAAATTCAAAACTTTGACATTGAGGTTCCGTTATCATGTGTATGGAGGTCGACGGAAATGCCGAATTGTGTATTGCTGACGCCGAACCGAATACAGGAGCGTTTTGGAGCATACGATTGGCCGGCAACGGCTCTGTGAGTCATACGCTTTTGTAGTGCTTAATCAAGCCGGTTCAACCAGTGAAGCATTGTGAGCTCGTCTATCACGCGGCTGATTTTCGCCTGCTATGGCAGTGAACCTGTCGAAGGGTGTGGGTTTTCCGTTTTTTTTGTCGAGTTTACCTATGTTCTTCACGTTATTTACCTAGATAAGAGCTCCTAAACCCCCAAACACAGTCTGCGCGTCTTTCTCCAACGTGATTGTGTTGTTTGGTCATTTTATATTGAATAAATCCTCACATTCTGCTGCTGCTTTTTCGCACCGCGTAGCTTAGCCATCTGTCGAGGGTCTTACTGATGACGCGACTACACTCTGAATCAACGAGTGCAAGGAAAGCTTGAGATGCACGTTTTTATTGATTTACTTTTTAGAGCTTGTTTTCAACTGACCTCAATACTACGACCGCCAACCTGACTCACTCCTGGGATACGGAGAATATTTCTGTTTTAGGCGTGGCTGTCACGCCCAGATCGCCGCCGAACGACCCCAACCAAGCGGACGGTCTCCTTGTCACCCTCCGCGTCATTCACCTGGCTCGATTTCTCCCCACACCGGGGCATGGTTACCAATGGCATGAGCTGCAATCGTTGGACAAACTTTTCCAACCGCTCGCACAGCTGGTTTCATTGCCATTCAATACAGACCTTCTTCCACCCTACCTGTATCATAGTGTCCACAGAATGAATCCAGCAATGATAAGAAAGACAAACAAGTTCTGATGGCATACAGGCAGTGGTGCTCGTTGAACCAGGGTGTTTCCAATATATGTTGAGGATCTTTCATCTACCAGTCGGACCTTTCACTGCGTTGGTCTGTACCTTGCAGTAGATGTAGTTCACTTTATGTTTCTCTTTCCTGTAGCTATTTGTTTTTTATCTATTTATCTCTCTGATGGTACTGTGATTTGCTCATGTGAAGCGACCTATAAACCCTAGATATCTTATTTAATTGCAAGTTTCCATAGCGAAACAAAGACCTGCTATTTTTATTAACCTTTTTGTTTTCTCTTAACGTTTTTTCAGTACCATAGATACTATCACAGGCGATATGAACACATAACAGTTGATCCATTTTAAGTAAAACAGTTATGGCCAATCGTTGAGATGCCCCGACGTACACGACATTTTCTCTTTATTATTGTCCATCGGGTTGGTGCGGAGATCTCGGCCCCATAGCCGTTTGAAGAGCTGATTCGTCGCCTTCCTTGTTTTAATCCTATCATCTCTTGTTACGGCTGTAGCGACTAAGCAAACGAGTTTCCAAGGTTAATTTAGGAGAATATCGCCCAACGTTACAAATCTTCACTTGCTGTAAATCTTGTGGATTGGCTGTTCAGTCAAACCCCAGTTGGTCCGTGTTCACATAAAGCTACAAAAGCGTGCCTTAAACGGTCTTCTATCAACGATATTGTCCTGTAGTACAGGGGTCCATTTTATTGTTTACTTAGACAGACTCTGGAGGATGTCTAGAAGTTCTCCAGAAGGGGAGCCTCTCGGAATATGCAATTAATATTGTTGTCTTTAAAAATGAGAAGGATCGCTAGCCTTTTGCGTAAATCGATTGTTCATCTTCTTGTCTCCAAACTTCCAAATGAGATGCGCCATTCTCTCAGGTGGAAGCTAAGCCGAGCAGTGCTTATCTGTTTTGGCCTCTAATTGTGGTCTTGTCTTGTCCATGCAGAAATTTGCTGTCCTAGTAAAGAACTTTTAGTCTGGCGAAAGGTTTCTTTGGTTGATCCGTTGTTCGAGTCATAGTAAAATTGATTTCGGGCTCCTCCAGTCCTTCCCTCCGAACAAGTCCAGCATTGCATAGATTCCCTCCGAGCTAAAATCACTGGGGCCTACATTGGCTGACTGTTCACCAAAACTGCATATTTTGTTAAAAACGAAGTAATAAACTGAAGATGGAGGCTTGGAGGGGAAGGAACCAGGCAAAGATACTTGCTTCGTATGTAAACTGTCTTCTCGCCATCCTGGTTAGGGGGTCATTTTCTGTATTCTGAAACCTCGATGATTCCGTATTTAATCGATTGGACAACAGTGGAAACTAGGAGGCGGATTCAGGAAAACATCTTGTGGATATGGATAAGACTGTTTGTGCAACAACGTGATTTACAGAGGAACTTGGCGCGGACACACGAATTTACTGTCCATTCCGGGACTCTCTTCGCCTATTGCACGGTTGTTTTTATCCCTAATATGAAGTTATTTCCTTGTTACACCTTATTGCTCGAGATAGCGCGAACTTACGGCTTGGAAACCCCATGGTTCGAACCCAATCCCGACATCTGGACTGCTCCTCTGTAAGCTTGAGCAACCTTGGCATTATTTCAGCTCTCTTCTTTGGAGTGGCATGGCAGGTAGGCACTCCAGCTGAACGACTATTTTTTACTCCATTATCTCCAAATTTTCTCATCTTCAATCCGAATGGACGTCTGTCACGTGTTGTACTGACTGCGTCGAAGTTGTGTTGCAGGTTGGCGATGGCTCGTTTGCTGCAAAAGTATGCTTGCAATTGTGTACCAAGTGACAGAGTCTGAAGGTCAGTCATTAATCGCCACTACCTTGAGTGGTCACAATTCTTCCAGATGATGATGTACGAGTTGTAGGGTTAAATTACTGGTGGCGAAACTACGAAGTGAAAGCATTCCCAACTGATCATACGCTCAGTTCTACGTAAGTCAAAGCCGCATCGAATGTGTTGTTTTTCAAATGAGTTTCTAGGGTTCGAATCCGTCGGTTGCCAGGGTATCTGTAAGTTTCCTTATCCGTAGTATGACTGAAGAAGCTATAAAAAACAATAAGACCGACACCATGTGAATCGTGGGGACACAGACAAGGCGCTCTAGTATCTCGCGCAGGTAGAGCCTTACGTAATGCTGCTGCGCCTATCACTGCAAATTGTTTCGCATTGGTTGGGACCGGAGGTTTCGGTTCCCGCTGTGTGAAGTTGAACTCGGCGTGGCAGTGAATATCGGTCGCGAGTGACGTGTGTAACGAATGGGAACTATGCAAATGCAAGGTTTGTACAAGCGGTCGAAATGACCGGTTTGGTTATTCTCCGCTTACTTCCTGATCAATGGATGTATTTCCTTGAGGCTGTAGTAGTTTAAGTGGTGTATCCCGAAATTTGTTTACAAGAACTAGGTAGACGTGATTTTGTCCTTTTCCGGAGTCGGGTGTGATCCCTCGGGAACAGTCGTACCCAAAAACCGAACCTGCGGTTCGATACAGTACAAGGTTTTTTTTACCAACAAGTCATGTTTGTAAACATTTGAAATTGAGATGGATATATTTAGTTTTCTCTAATTAGATCAAATGGGATCACTGGTACCCTGAAATGTACATTCCCCCCCCCCCCCCCCCCCCAATCAATAACCCTGAGGGAATTATTTCATCGAGTCGAAAAAATTCGTAACCTCTGGAATCCTTTGATCATTTCGAAGAATATGTGGTGCGAAATGATGCCGCTTCACGGCCTATACAGTCGACAGTAAACTCACAAAATGACGGAGATTACACAGGACGTGGAAAGTATCTGTTTCGGTGGTTCTAAAGAACCGCTTATCGTACACGGGCGTGTTGTGCCGATTGATACCTGTCAACAAACTTGGATCTCTTTGGGTACATCTGGTAATAACTCCAACCGATGATACGACCGAATCTCTTATCTTTTTATGAATGCACATCTGATTGCTGCAGATGGGGTTCCAGTGGAGTCAAATCCTGATTTCGTAGATGCTAGCCTTTCAAGTTCTCTGAGTTTTACTAATGTGTTCCACCACAACTGTGGGTAAAATTGATGTATAAAATGGCGTAAAATCACCCGCATTTCGGTTGCAAATGAAAGGATTTCACAAGTGATGTACAGTCTGGTGTTCAAGTGGAACATATGTTTGATGGGGGGATGGATACTCTGTCTTCCTGCTGAAATCCAGGAAGGGCGAAACCGGTTGTGGGCTGTCGAGGAGTTTTAGAAAACTTATGAGTGGTGTGTTCCACCAAGTAGATGGTCAATGACTTGTTGGTAGAGCTAATCGTTAACTAGGATATTGCTCACTTGAAACACCACGTTGGACTAACCATCCTGTTGGCCTTCAATACCACACTCTAATACAAAATTTGCTGATCTTCACAGAAACAATATTCCAAGTAGGCTAGGCCGATGGACAAGAAGCGTGCCTGAAGCCAGCTTCCAGTTGAAACCGCTTGCAACCAGGCCTCATTCACCTCCAGAAGATTTCATGTAAAATTCAATATGTGGTGCGCGCATATTCTAACATCACTAGCACACCGACCAAAAGTTTAGTTCAAGGTTCAAAGGAGTAGCGTCAGAAACAGGAAACTCTATCCTGTTGTTCATTGCAGTCTTAGGATAGGAGGAACACTTATTGGGGAGTAACATTAAATTTTCGTTAATGAATTTCAGGCGATTATTCAACTGGGTTTCAAAAGTTTGTCAGTAAGTGTGGGTTTTCCGTATCCCGTGCTAATGGTCAAGTTTGTGAACTTTCTTATAATCGTAGATTCTCCAGGTCCATTTGTTGGCCTCATGGATGCAGAAAATACTGGATAACTTGGGCAGATGATTTATCCCCTGGACTCATCAGTTGATGATTTCTCTTCAGAGGACTTCCTTTATAAATGATTTACTCTGTTGACAACTTGACAATTTTATGGCATTCAGTACAAAATCCGTATGTGATCTTTATAATCACTCATTACATCAAAGAGACTGTATGCAAATCGCTTCTCTCTTCGTAACACTGCTGATGCGATGTATTTGTTTTTATCAACTATGGTGGGCTTAGTTAACAGTTGCCTAAATAACGATTTCCTAACGGGTTTCAGACACGGACAAAAGAGGTTTCGAAACTTCTGATCAGTCATCAACCGTATAAACGAATGGTTCATATGTCAGTATCGTAGTTAGTTCGTTAGAATCACTCACCCCGTTTTGTATCGGGACATCCACCCGTAGACCAATCAGGAAGGAGAATCTTCATTCACCACATTAACAAGTGAGCAGACGGATAGATACATAGCTCTCACTCTATCAGGAAAGCCCTCTTAGAGATTAAACAACTAGAAGCGGAACTGGAAGGTAGACAATGCAACTGTGTCGACCGCTACAGTCGAAATTCATATGGATCGGGTTTCTGTGTTTGCTTTTAGACCCCATCCATTCCGTTGTATTGTGCTTTCCGACTGTGCTCGAATCACGGATGGTAGATGATTACCGATCCTGGAGTTTTCCATGGACTAGCATGGAACATGTGTCCGACGTGAAATTGGAGCGAACTAATTCTGACATTAAACAACAGAAACTCACACCGGGTCTAATTTCGTGGCTGCTGGACAGTGTGCCGCGGCAGGAACGCTCCTCAAAGCGCATGTCGTCGCCATACAATATAACCACCGCGTTTGGCATAACAATGATGAGGGGATGGCGTCCGCAACGTTGGGGCTAAGTAGGTTGGTCGTATTTTGCTGTTCAATACAGTGTTGTTATGAACTGAACAAATTTTTTCTCTTGAGGAAGCTGGGAGATGGGACTTCGTTTTTAGTTCCAACGGTTCAGTACCGGTTCCCTCATATTCATCTACTTGCTAATATCTGTATGCCATTGCAGTGGTAGTTTTTCTTCCGAATTTAGTTGGCACGATAGATGTTGCATGATAGATTGAGGACAGCTACAGGGGTTTCAAGAAGTTATGTGTACATCAGTCTCGTCTGAACCGTCCTATTTCTCTCTGGTCACCACTATTTTGGTGAGTCAACAATGAGCACATGTGATTTGTGTTTCGCTCTTATTAGAGTTCACTACCGGGGGTGAGATGGCCCAAGTGGTTAGAGCGCGAATTTACTGACCAGAAGGTCCGTCGTTCGAACCCAACCTCTACCTCTCGACTTCGCCTGTTTTGGCTTGAGCAACCTGACAGTATCCCAGCCCTCGTTCTTCCTTCGGGTGGCATGGCAGTTAGGCACCGAAAGGGTGCTACAGCTGAACGATTGTCACTACCAGTGCCGTACCAGGGTTTGAACCGCGTGCGTCTGTTTTATTAGGCGAGCATATAACTTCCAGTCTACCAGTGAGCACTGGGATCGCTTG